CGCCCCCAACCCCCCCAGCCCCCGCCGGCCTCCTGCTACCCCGGGTGTCGGGCCGCTCACGGCCACCCCACTGTGTCCCTCGCACCCCTCCGCCCAGCTCCCCGGCCCTACGGCCAAGGGCTTTGTGATTGTCCCCCCTGCCGGCACTTTCATCAACACTCCTGCCTCAGCCCAGTAGCCCCAACCACCCCACCTCTTCACCTTGGCCCCTGCCACTGTCCTGAGTGCTCTCTCCGACCCCCGGCTCCTCAGCTCCGCCCTTGACCAGAGAGCCTGGCCCTTCCTCCCCGCCGGCCCAGAGACACTTGTCCTATCTCAGGGGCACCCCCAGCCCATCCCCGACTTCCCCAGATGCAGGCCTGCCTTCTGGCTAACACCAGCTACTCTCCTAGGCCGGCTGCAGGGTAGCTGTGACCTTCTTCCTTTACTTCCTGGCCACCAACTACTACTGGATTCTGGTGGAGGGGCTGTACCTGCATAGCCTCATCTTCATGGCCTTTTTCTCAGAGAAGAAGTACCTGTGGGGCTTCACGGTCTTTGGCTGGGGTATGCAGGCGCGGCGGGCAGCCAGGCGCAGGCAAGGGGGGGACCACAGGCGGCGGGGTCAAAGGGGCCACTAAGGGTGAGGCACCCGCACGGCCTCTCCCATCCTGGACGTGGGGCAGCCCGGGGGTGGCCTGCCCGCCCCCCTTCTTTGAGTCTGACCCCATCCCAGGCTCAGGCGACAGGGCTTGGCTGGGGTCAGGGTTCACCCCTGGGCTCAGCCTGGGGCTGGGGCTCACCTGGGGGCAGATTCACCTGCCATTGAGGTTCAGCCTGGGAGAGGGAGGGAGTATTTTCAGGTCAAGATTTCAGCTCAGGATCAGAGTGGGATGGTGGGTCAGAGGTCACCCTAGGGCTGGAGTTGAGGTCTGGGACACTCCCTGCACCGTGAGCCCTGTTTCCCTATCAGTCCCCTTACTGAGTGGGGCTGTCCACACCACTGCCACCCGGCCTGCAGGAGCCATGACCCAGAGCTCCAGGCCCCCCACTCGGCATCCTCCGCGCTTCGGCAGCCCCTCTGCAGAATGGGTTGCTGGGGCTCTGCACTCCTCCCCCACGGGTTCCGGGATGGAGTTACCGATAATTGTCCATTATTGTTGGCAGCTCCAGAGCTTGGCTGGGCTCCGGGGCAACTGGCCAGACTGCAGAGGGGTAGGCCCGGTGGCTGAAGCCCTCCCTGCACTCGGCACCCAGAAGCTCTCGGGTCAACAGCCACAGCCCCTTGGTACACACTCTGACCTTGACCTCACCCACGGCAAGCCCCAGAGTTGGGGGAGACCTGGTCCCGGCGACTGACCTGTGGACTCTGGGGCTAGACGGTTTCGGGGTGGGCAGGAGACACACAGATCTGGAGCAACAGAACTTGGTGACACAAGAATGTCATAGCTCTTTTTTCCCCACCGTAAACCCGGGTCGCACCCTGCCCCTCCCAAGGGTGCACCTGACCCAGAATGAAGTGTGAGGGGGTGGAGGGTAGAGGCAGAGCTCACTCAGAGGTACCATGTGCCATCTGGGCTGACTCAGGCCTGGGAACACTAAGGTTCCCCTGTGGCCTTTACTCAGCCTGGAACAACTGTCATTCCATCCAGCCTCATCCATGGGGGCTAGGACCTCTCAAAGCGGGTGTGTGTGTGTTCGGGGGCGGGGTGGTGGTGCTGGGACAGAAAAATGCTGGTCCTTGGCCCCTCCCCCACAGGAACTCCCAGTCCAGAGCCCAAAGGGAAGGAGGGATTGGACTGGGCGTGGGGAAGTTAGCGATGCCCTGTTTTCCCATGAGCCCAACAGGCCTGCGTGTGTGGGTAGGAAATGTAGAACCAAGATGAGGGTGGAGGGCTGACCGGGTTCTGAGCGTGGGAGCCCCGAGAGGAGGCCGTGGGGGAAGCAGAGCGGCCCACACCATCATGTGGCTCTGTCACCAAGCAGCCCATGGGCCCAGGGGGATGGGGCTCAGGGCCAGTGTGAGGGTCAGCTGGGGGGTCATCGAGGATGAGAGGAATGGGCTGAGGGGAGAGACACCGTGGGCAGCACCTGCATACGCTCACACGCTGCCCCTTCTGCGTCCACAGGTCTGCCCGCTGTGTTCGTGGCCGTGTGGGTCAGTGTGAGAGCCACCCTGGCCAACACCGGGTAGGTCCAGGCAGAGAAGGGGGCCGCGGGGCCGCGCCACAGGCCAGAAATAACGCTGGTGCGCCCTTCCTCTGTGAAGCATGGAGGGGGGGCCGCTTCAGTTTTCTGTCCAGCCATGAGCCAGGCACCCCCTCAGGGTCAGGCTGCTTCAAAAGCAGTGTCTGAGGGGGGGCCTCAGGCCTGGCCCTAGCCAACACCCCCCTGTCCTTTGTCCCTCCCAGCTCTGGGGCCAGGCTCAGGGTGGGAACAGGGGGGTGGGAGCTGATGCCTCGGCCTCCCCCAGGTGCTGGGACTTGAGCTCCGGGAACAAGAAGTGGATCATCCAGGTGCCCATCCTGGCCTCTATTGTGGTGAGCAGGGTTGGCAACAGGGCTGGGTGGGGGCGTGCACTAAGGGGGCCGGTGACCAGCCCCTGACAAGGGACTACAGAGGCTTCCCTGGACCCCAGGGTTGGAGCCACGGGCCTGAGTCCAGTCGGGGAAAACAAGGGCCCGCTTGGAGACGCAGTGGCAGAGCAGAGCCTGGGCGGGTCCGTGGGTCCCCGGGCCGTCGCCCCCACCCTGCTCGGTGCAGCTCGAGATGCAGCCCTCCCTCACTCCCACAGCTCAACTTCATCCTCTTCATCAACATCGTCCGGGTGCTCGCCACCAAGCTGCGGGAGACCAATGCTGGCCGGTGTGACACGCGGCAGCAGTACCGGTGAGCTGTGCCCACCGGGCCCGGGGTTCCTCGGAGCGCTGGGGTCATTACACCCCGGCACCATGTACCGAAGCAAAGACATGAGCCTGTGTCGAGGGAAGCACCCAGCTCCCGGCTCCCTGGCTGGCCCCACCCAGCAGTCATGGGCTCTCCCCTGGTCTCTGGGGCCGCCCCGGAGCCAACCTGGGCCATTCAGTGCTGGGGTCTGCAGGGGATGGGGGGGCAAACCCAGACCTCTCCTCAAAGAGCTGACTGTAGCGAGTCCAAGGGACAGGTGGGCAGTGAGTGGCTTCGAGAGGACAGCAGCCCCGCTGAAACCTGAGGAATGGGCTGTGGGATGAAGACGTAAAGCCAGGAGGAAGTGAGGGCCAGTAGGGGGACCAGTGTGTGCAAGCACCGAGGGCCCTTACGAACACTTTGTCCCAGGTTAACTGGGTCGTCCTCCGCTCAGGCCAGAGCCGCAGGTCCCTTTGTGGCTCCTGGAGCCTAAGAGCTTGGGGCGGGCAGGTGCGGGTGGCTCGGTGCCTCCCCAGGGGAAGTGGCCTGTCCCTGAGCCACCTGCTCTGCTGGCCCAGGAAGCTGCTCAAATCCACACTGGTGCTCATGCCGCTCTTCGGCGTCCACTACATCGTCTTCATGGCCACGCCGTACACCGAGGTCTCAGGGACGCTCTGGCAAGTCCAGATGCACTACGAGATGCTCTTCAACTCCTTCCAGGTGCGCGGGCCTGGCCGAGGCCTGGCGGGGGTGGGGGGCGGGGGGGAGGGAGGGCAGGGCGGGAGCGGCAGGTGTGGCCTCTGGGCCCTGACGCCCAGTGCCTCTCTCCGCAGGGATTTTTTGTCGCCATCATATACTGTTTCTGCAATGGTGAGGTAAGCAGGGTGGGCAGCGCTGGGGCAAGGCAGGGGGGCTGCGGAAGTGCCAGGGTTCCCCAAGTCCTGTCCCTCCATTCTCCTGTCCAGTTCCTCTGTTCCTCCAAGAACATCCCTGAGGACATTCTGAGGGCAGAGAGTCTTTCCAGATGATTCAGGCTCAGGATGTGCTAGGATTTGCGGGCTCCTCAGTCGCTGGCAGAGCCCTTGTCTTCCCAGCCCCATGGTTGAAGGCTCCGTAATCCAGAGTGAACGACTCAGCCACCCCTGGGGCCATTTGAGCCTGGTAGACTCCGGGTGTGTCGGTTGCCTTCAGCCAGGCACCACGTTCTGAGGATGACGGGATTTTACTTGGCCTTGGAATTTTCCAGTAACATCCCACGCCTCCGGTTCTGCTCAGGAGCTGAGTGTTGTAGGGGCAGGGATGAGGGCATGGCTGGGGCTGGGGGGCCATGTGGCGGAGGGCAGAGAGGCCGACCTGACGCCCCGCCCTCCTACGGGCCATCGCAGGTGCAGGCCGAGATCAAGAAATCCTGGAGCCGCTGGACACTGGCCCTGGACTTTAAGCGGAAGGCCCGCAGTGGGAGCAGCAGTTACAGCTACGGCCCAATGGTGTCTCACACGAGCGTGACCAACGTAGGCCCCCGCACGGGACTCGGCCTGCCGCTCAGCCCCCGCCTGCTGCCCGCCACCACCAACGGCCACCCCCCGCTGCCCAGCCACAGCAGGCCGGGGGCCCCGGCCCTCCAGGCAACACCACCTGCTGTGGCTGCTCCCAAGGATGACGGGTTCCTCAATGGCTCCTGCTCAGGGCTGGACGAGGAGGCCTCGGCGCCCGAGCGGCCGCCCGCTCTGCTGCAGGAGGAGTGGGAGACTGTCATGTGATCCGGGACCCGAGCCAGGGTTGGACCCGTGGGCATAAGGGCTGACAGACGGACCAAGAGACGGCTGGTTGGATGGTTGCCCACTCAGGGCTGGGGCTGGGAAGACAAAAGAGGAAAAAAAGGAAAAAAAAAAAAAGAAAGAAAGAAAGAAAAGGGAAAGGGAAGCGGTGTGTAGCTTCCTATGGTCTGAGCTGGGGCTCAGGAGGGGAGGCGAGGGCCGGGAGCCATGGAGCCTTTCTTGGGTTTCACCTCTGGAAGGGCTCCAGGGGCCACGGGCCAGTCCCTGGGGGCTGGGCACAGTCCAGCAGGAAAGACCTGGGAGAAGCCAAGAGCGGCCCGAGGTTGCTGGGGTCACACGGGGGCCCAGCGGAGCCATGCAGGAGCTGGGCCACAGCCTCTCCCCGCCACCAGCTGCCACCTCCAATGCCTCTGCTGAGGCCCCGGGGTGGGTGGGGGGGACCTCAGCTCCTCTCTGCCAACTCTTCACCTGTTGCCCCGTCACTGTTCACCAAGGGCCAACCGCAGATCCCTGGGTCCCTGGCCCTGCTCCAGGCCCCTTCCTGCCTGTCTGGTGGCCATGCTGTGTCCCTTGGGGCCTGGGGCACTCAGGGAGCTCTCCACACAGGATCCCCAGCCCCCACCCTGGATTTGACACGCCTCTGGCCACCAGACTGAGAGGGCAGGGAGCGTGCCGAGGCCATCAAATGAGCTGTGGGCTGAGGTCCGCGCTCGGGCTCAGGAACTGTGGGGGAGCCTGGGGTCATCCCACAGGTCCAGCTGGGGTGAGGGCGTGCAGGACTCAGCACATCCACCCCCCGTGGATCTGAGCCCGTCACTAAGCATCCCTAGCCCACACCCACCTGCCACTTTAGCCACATTACTTGCACCCCTCACCCCTGCCCACCTCAGTCTTGGGCCCTAGAATGGCACAGGCCCTCCTGGCCTGACACTGAGAATTGACCCAACTGCATCCCCACCCCAAGCTCTGACCAGAACAAGCTTCGTTCTCAAGTCCGAGGACGGCCTTGCCCCCGAGCCTATACAAGCTAGTGCCCCTGCCTGGTCCTGCCTTTCCTCATCTCCAGTGCAAACTTGTTCTTCTCCGTGGACTCAGCATCTGGAAAGCGCCCCCCATCTTGAACAGCACTCCCACCCCACTGGGGACTGGGTGAGGTGTCATAGTCAGTGGGTGGCATAGACGTACTCTGAGCAGCCTCAGGCCCAGCCCTGCCTTCCCTTCCAGATGGCAGGTAGGGCAAACAGTTGCTCAAAGGCCCGGTGCACCCATGGGGCTCCACGTGGTGTGACGTGCTTGGAACACTGTGAGAAACATGGGCCAGGACCTGAAGGGCCACTGAGCCAGTTTAAGCATCGAGGACTCCTGTGAATGCTGGGAGCTATTGGAAACTGTACAGGGAGAGCAACCAAGGTCTGAGACACATTTAGAAGAGTCCCTGCTTCATTGGAGAGGCCAGAGGAGGTTACTCAGGCCTCAGGGGAGAGGTAAGCTTGTGGGAGGAGGTAGCAGGCAGGAAGTACCCTGCATGAGGCACTGGCTGGGAGAAGGAGACCCAAGCAGAACAGACCCCCATCCCCTTCCCAGGGCTCAGAGCTACGGGACCTCTGGGAACCTCATCCACCCACCCCACAGGCAGTCCCTGAGGCCGCTAGCTGGCTGGGCCCCAGGGCCCCATCTTCCAACCCAGACTTCTCCTCAGGAGGCTTCTGAAGTAGAGTCCATGAGGCCCACTCCCCCTGAAACACTCAGACTGGGTACCCCTAGGACAGGGCTGTCTTCCCCCTCAGACTAGGTGCCCCCAGGACAGAGTTGAGCCTTTCCTCTCAGACCGAATTCCCTCTAGGACAGGGTTGAGTCTCTTCCCACAGACCAGGGATCTCCATCCCAGGACAGGGCTGTGCTCACCCTTCAGAGTGGGTGCTCCCCCAAGACAGGGCCGTGTTCCTCACACAAGCTACCACCCCCCAGACAGGAGTGTGCTCACCCCTCAGACTGGATACCCCCCCAGGACAGGGCCAGGCCTCCCCCTTTAGACTGGGAACCATTTCTGGGATGTCCAGGACAGGACTGGACCTTACACTAGTCCAAGGCCCTAAGCCAGGACCCTTCTCCCTTCAACCTGGAGCCCCTGGGCCAGGGCTGGCCTTCCCACTCAGAGAGGCCCCTGAGCAATGCCTGGGCCATCCAGGTGTTGGCAGAGGAAGTGGGAGCCCTCAATGGGCCTGGCAGGCGGTCAGGACCCTGTTTGCCTTGAGCAGTGGCTGGAGCCAGGTGGTCACTTCTCCCTTCAAGGCCTCCCAGCCCAGCCAAGCCGCAGGGAACACGTAAACACCAGCCGAGCTGGGCGCGGGCAGGCAGGGAGGAGGGCACCGAGAGACCCCAGCTCCTCAGCCTCCTTGGCCAGGGTGTCTGGCACCTCATGGGCTGCCCTGAACCCCAAGTGGGGCCAGTAAGGCGGGCCTCAGCTCCCACCTGTCTTGGGCATGTGAACAGGCCCTGCCCTCTCTGGCTGGTCTTCCCTCGGCTCCGACTGGGAGAGGAACCTCTGAAGACCCTTGGAAGGAATGTACCCCCGGCTGGGGGCCCCTGGAACCCAAGGCCAGGCCCCAAGGCTGGGTGAGACCATAGATCCCAGCTCAGAATGGGGCCTCCAGGGGGCAAGGGGCATCAGATGGCTCTGCCCATCTCAACCTGCAAGCCTGTTGAGAACAAAGATGGAGCCGGGCCCCCCACGCCCACCCAGAGTGGGCAGGCTGTGACAGCCTCACCCTTCTGCCCTCACCCTGGGGAGGTGGGAGGGAACAGCACAGACACAGGGGAAAGGGTACTGAGTTCTCTGGAAGTTCAGAAGGGACATGACCCTGCCCTAAGGGGTTTTAAGGGGGACACAGCCCTGCTCTGATGGTGTGTGAGGGGCCATGACCCTGCCCGGTGGCCTGAGAGGGTCCGGGCTCTGCCTTGGTTGTTAGAAGAGGTCTGGCCGGGGTCGGGGGGTGGGGTCCGTCAGAGGGGTCGGTCAGGAGCCGTGGGGCTGGCTGCGCAGCTCCGGCACACAGGCTGGGGTGGGCCCAGCTGCTTGTCCCTCATGCCTCCTCAGCCAGTTTCAGAATGATCCCAGCCTGAGGTTCCCATGGCCAATGGCAACAAGCCCTGGCTGGGGCAGAAGAGCCTCCTCTTGGGCAGAGGAGGGGACTCCAGAGCCAGGCAGGGGCCTGGACCCTGGCTGGCTCCTGGGTGTGCTGTGTGATCCTGGGCAAGCTGCCTTCCCTCTCTGAGCCTCAGCTTCTCCTCTGAGGTCAGGCCCCTGTTCAGGTCTCCTGGCCTGTGTGGGCTCAGCACACAGCATCCTGCTCCTTAGTGGGCCCCTAGGACACAAGGCCAGGACATCCCCAGTGACAGGTTCCCTCCTTCTTCAGTGTCACAGTCATGCAGGCTGTGGGGGCCGAGAGGTGGTGGGCATGGATTCTGCGCTCCTCCCTGTCCAAGGGCTGGGGATGAGGAGAGGGGCCAGGCTCTGGGAGGCAGAAGAGGCAGAAGACCAGATTCCAGCCTTTCATTTTGGCCTCAGCTTTCCAAAATCTGTGGGTGAGGGAAAGGAAGGCGGCTGCGTTAATTATGCGCCTAATGTTTAGGCCCCCTCCCCCCACCCCCCCACAGTTTTAGGGGAGATAGAGAGGTTTGAATTCCCCTAAAGGCTTCCGATCACAGTTCTCAGATGGAAACACTGGTGGGGGAGCTCTGCAGATGAGCAGCCCTCATGGGGTCCTGCTGGCTTTGCTTCCCAATGGGGAGGAGGAGGGGACAAGGCCCGGCTGGGAGGATGGGGGTCAGGGCAGGGGAGGGCGGGCTTGTGGCCACCCCAAGCTCCCTTCCCAGAGCTCCAGGACCTGTGGCTGCAAACTCTTCAGCTCCCGAGGCCCTTCCCCTGCTCCTCACACTCCCCTGGGCTCTGCTCTCCCGGCAGCCCAAGGTTGGAGACCCTCTCCTGGGAACCCTCTCCCCAGCATGTATCAGTCAGGGGACGGCCTTGATGTGAACTGTCCAGAGGCCACACGGGCAGCCTCTGCACCCCCACCAAGCTCACCCACATCAGTGAGACAGAGGGATGCATGTGGGGCTGCTAGGTGTGTCTATTTGTATTAGTGTATGCATATTGGCATCTGTGTATTTATTTGTACCTATGTATGTATGTTTATGTGTGTGTCTGTTCATATATGTGTTGTGTCCATCTGTACTGCGTCAGTCAGTGGTTCTACCGTATATGTACCTGTGTCTGTGTGTATATGGACGTGGATGTCCATTTGCACGTGTCTACTTGTGTGACTGTATTGTGTATTAGTGTGCCTGTTTGTATGTGTTTGCATGTGTGTCTGTATACATGTGTGTCTATTTGTGTGTGTGTGTGTGTGTGTGTGTGTGTCTATGTGGACCTGTGGTCTGAGAACGCCGCCTGTGGGTGGAATTTGGCCCGGGGACGTGTTTGGTTTGGCCCTCACAGTATTTTCAACATCTTGAGCCAACATTTAAAAATCAGGATATTTCACATAAAAATTCAGCTTTCCAGTTTCTCTTAAAAATTCAGAAGCCCTGGCAGCCCTGGCCCATGTTCCCATGAGGCTGCTCTCCTCCAGAGCTCACGGGGGCTGCCCATCCGCCTGCCCCCTCACCGCTCGTCTCGCCTACCAGCGCCTTGAGGATGACTGAGTTTGTGACCCCAGAGTGTGTGGTCACAACTGCGTGTAAGCCGAGCTGTCAGGGAGCGTGGGCATCAACTGAGTCTGCGCTGGGGGGTGCGTACTTGTGATCGCAAGTGTGTGCACGAGGCACAGCTGAGTGCATGGGGGACACGTGGGGGCCTGCACGCGCAGGGGTGGGTGGGAGGCACTGTGCGTGCGGGGGTGTGTGTGTGAGAGTGCATGCGTGCACACGTGGGTGTGCGTGGGGGTGTGCATGGCCGTATTCGTGGCCATGTGGGGTGTGTGGGCCACTGTGGTCTGGCGTGCTCCGCACAGGCGCCTCTTCCGGCCTTTGATGGGGAATTGGATTCCCGGCTTCTGGCTGGGCTGCCTTGTGGGATTTATTTCTGTCTCAGTGCCGACCAGAGGCCTGAGTAATGGGAACATTTAGGGAAAACCAGTAAATACA